TGGAACTGAAAAAAGTATTCTCCTGTGTTCCTAAAAGAGAGGCTTACTCACATTATATGTTAAAGACCAACAAACCTGTCTTAAATGGTCTTTTTTCCCCACTGGAATGACCTGACCCTTCTCATATAAAAAGAGTTCTGATTAGTGGCAAATCTGCAGCTTCTCACAGAGCTAATTCTTTCCTCTCCTGCATTCAGAAGCCAAGCCCTGCCACTTCATCTCTCCCAACACTTGCTCATTCTTCTTGTGCAACACTTTTAAAATTATTTCTCTGTTCACTGCAAACTCCTGTTAAATAGTTTCAAGGAGAATAAGTATTCACAAATACAGAAACTGAATTTCTGTTCTAAATGTCTTACAACCCTTGATCAAGACACTGCTGGGTATTTTCCAAACACAACAGCACGAACCAGCACGAGCTATAGAAAAGAAACAGGTTTTTTAAAATATACAAGTCCTATATTTTACCAGAAATTAGAAGACAGTCAGCTGCTTCCTACTGTCCTCTACTGCTGTATCAACTGATGCTGAAAGAGCACAGGCCCACCTACAATCATCTCACATCAAGACATGTAATGCTCAGAGTAAAGAGAGGCAGTACCAGCTCTAACATGGTAGACATCTGTCTCTATATTCTCCTGCCTTCGTTGATGCAAGTGAAGATGCAGCTTAAGTTCAGAGTTTAGCTCCTCCTTCTTGGCAGCCACAAAGACATGGGAGTTGGACAATGACTCTGTAAACCACTTCTCCAAGTGTTCAAAGAAGCAGAGGCGAATCCTATGATTGGAAAAAGAAAATTCCTGTGAGAAGCAGTAAGCAATAGAATATACTGAATAAATTCTTTAAGAATTTAACTTCTGACTATAGGAAGATACAGTTTCATTACCATTTGCAGAATACTGGTAGAGTTTTTGAGCTGGCTGCACACTGCTGAGTATCAGGCATTTTACCTTCATGGCTCTGCAGGGAATTTGGTCAAATGACTTGCCTTTCTCTGCTATGCTTTCTCACTAAACTTTCTTTAAAACATGAATGTTCTGCAAGAGGTAAATGCCTGTGTTGTACTTTGAAGGCCATGGATGAAAACCAATACACAATTCTCTCATATTTTTAAATCAATTTACAAAGAGGAATTACATCAAAATGATTAGATAATTTTTTCATCTTTAATGTTTCTTCCAAAAAGCTGGTATTTGTCTGTTACCTAAAAGGAAAGAAAGAACATAACTTGCTTTCTACTAACCGTTTCTTCAGCTCTACAAACACATTTTCTCTGATAAGTGCATAATTCAGGTACATAGGAAGTGATTCTTCTTTTTCATATTTTGTAAAATAGTTCTCTGGGATCTCAGCCTTTCCTCCCTTTTCAACTCCAAGAACCGTGTAAGAGTTTCCACTGGAAGTGGAAAAGGTCTCAGTGGCAATTTTCAGACCTTTATGCTTTTCCTCCTAGGAAACAACTGGAAATCATTATCTGTTACCTTTAAAAGGTGTAAGCATAGAAAGAACAGTGCACAAGCTAATCTTAAGGATATTAAGAATAATGTTCCTTGTTCTCAGCTTGAACAACATTCATACAGAGAAGTTGCTTGCAAGTCTCAACAGGTTGAGTCATCAGTGTTTTAAAAGGTTTTTTGTCATGGCAATAAATTCACCTAATCAAAGAGCTGAAAAACTAATGCTTAGATACAAACACAGCTTAAAACACTCACCACAGGTTAAGAATACTATCATGAAAGACAGATATTTAACCAAGGATAAAAGCAGTGCAAAAGCAATGGTGTAAACTGCTACACACTTCATTTCCCCACAAAAAAAAAGGATCTAAAGCCCTAATAGTGCAGAAATAAATGAAAACAATAATGGCTCCCATGTGCTTTCTGTACAAATTAAATCTAACCTACTTCAAGGAATTTAGATTTACCTTAGCAAAAAGAAGATTTCCTATTCATAATTATTTTTAAGCAATATCTCCTTCACCTTCAAATTTATTCTCCTGTTCATTACCTGTGTAAGGCTTACCCCCTGCTCTGCATGCTCAGTTTCTTCACTTTCATGAGGAACACTCTCCCAGTCCTTTTTCTCCTCTGTTGCTTCAGCTCCCTGGGCAACGATCTCCTCAGTGTCATCTGTGCTTGGTTCTTCATTTTCTTGTTGACAACTGCCTACCCTCTGTTCTCCTTCATTCTCTTGCACAACCCTCTCAGTTTGCTGCTTCATCAGATGTTCAGCTTCTGAAACTGTAACTAGTTCTTCCCAGTTAAAGCAGAGTTTGTCTGATTACAATCCAAAGAAATACAGATTGAAAAACAAGCAAACAAACCTACCTATTTGTACCCTTGAGGTATTACCTTGACTTGTGGAGTCTCTCTCTCCTTTCAGGTTCTAAAAGGAAAAAAACCCCAAAACTATTAAAAATAAGAAATTCATATTCCTTCTCAAAATATATCTATTTCAAGAAGATATGACAGTATTGAATGGATCACTTATCTTATAAAGAAGCTGTAACACTCAAACTGACTAGTGTATTTTTGTGTTTAATAATTTTTTATTAATTATTAATTCAGTGATTTTGTTTAAAAGGCAAGTGAATTTAATGAAATGCAATTTGTAACAAGAACAGAGTTAAAAGTGTGGGACAGAGAAAGGTTTTGTGCTTCCCAGCCTCTGTTTCTACCAAAAGCATTGTAGCATTATGACCATAACAATGCTTTAGTTAATGTAATCCATATTTTAAAACTAACATACATTCTCCCAAAAGTGTAAAATTAATACACCAGTGAGATTTTAAACCAGAAAAAGTTAGGGTTTTTTATACCTGTTTGAAGACTTCCTTTACATTAAAATATTGGCTGATGGATATACTGTAAGATATCAGTTCCTGCAAAATAGCTTCTGGGTAAGCCATCAATTCATCTGTTAGAACTTGGTTGAACATCTCATACCTGTCAAAATCAAGGTTACTGTTTAAGAGACTCAGGGATGTAGAGAAATAAAATGAAATATGACTACAGTTTATTTAAAATCTAACTTTTTGACCAGTCTCATGAAACCTTTAGGTTAAATGTCATACTGTATCTGTTTAGCCTGAATACAATCCCACCTTGGCTTGTTAGTATACTGATTCCTATTTCACAAAAGTGAAGAAATATTCATCATAAAGTACTTCAGATATTTCATTTTTGATAGGAAACTATTCAAGATCTGTGCTTACATAAAGAATATTAGATGTGAGAGGTAAAATTATCTTTCATGTTAGTTCTGTATCACACAGCTGTCACTGAAGTTTTTCTGGTTTATTCTCATTTTACTTGGAAATGAAACCTAATGGTTCAAGCTGAGTCTCAATTCAAGAAAAAAAAATCCATGTTCACATCTGTTTTCACTTACACTTACATTTGCTTTGTCTCCCATAGGAAGATAACTATGGAGAATTTAGGTATGTGCTCAAATGTTCAGGTAGATTACATTCCATCTCTGCAACCTCCCACTGTATTTTCACTCACTTTTAGGTTTAGCTACTTTGTTTTTTCAAAACCATCCTAATGAATATAAAGAATACTGAACCAACAGATCTAAACACAATTACAGTGTGAGGTGTGTCCATCTGACTCTCAGGTCCACATCACACTTTTAATATGCCCCCAAACTAAAAGATAGAGACCTTCTGGGTGTGAAAATAGAATTGCTTCCTCACAGGGTATTTAATCCTCAAACCTTCTACTAAGGTCTTCAGCAAGAAGAGTAGTACCTGCCAATTTTGATGGGATTTCTAAAGATGCAATTGTATGATCATGTAAAGAAGATTACCAGAATATATACTTTGGGTATCTGAAAGTTATTAACTTCTAGTCCTTGTGACTTTGAAAGAGATCAAATCTGTAAGCCCAGAGTGCAGATGATGGCACAAAATGTACAGTCTGATCTCTGCAATTCAAGGATCTGAGCTACCACTTTTACCTGGTGAATAAGTAGTTATCCCACTGGCACAGATAACACAGTAGACTACATAATACTACTGATCTGGTGTATTTTTAAATTATACCAGTCTTCCTTACTCCTGCATCTAAAATGTGGGTATTATTTGCCTTAATCTTGTTCAGTATGACAACTATTACTCCTTCTTACATGAAGTAGCAAGCAGTGTTTTTCCACACCTTCACACTAGAGCATAAACAAGTAGTACAACCAAAATTCAAATGAGCTTTACTTGTTAAGTTTCCACTACAAGATTCATACCTAGCTCTAATGTCATCTAAAGAAGAAAGGGCATTCTCCAAAGTCTTCTTCATCATTTCTTCAGAACTTGCTGTTTTCATACTACCCAAAATGACATCCAGATCAGCTTCCATTGTCTAAAGCCAGATAAAAAAAAACAACCAAACAGTATAAATTGTTTAGTGATTATTAAAATGCTCCACAACTATTTAGGATTCAAACAATTTAATTAGGTACACATTCTAGAACAAGAAGGGAAGCTACCTTACCAAAACACATATGCTATGAAAGTCTTTCCTGGATAATTAGTATCTCTGACATTGCCCCCCCTGTTGCATGTTTATACCCATAATATGAGAACCTGACATACAAACTAGGCTCTGTACCTGCACCTTACAACAGAAATTTGCAGCCACTTAATACAGAAAATATAATCCTTAGCACTGTTGTCATATCCAGAATAAGATATGACTGTGTATTAAACGTGAATCAAGATGCTACCAAAAAATGTGCCTGACAAAATTAAAACTACTCTGTAGAAATTCAGGTATAAATGTCAAAGATTATATTTTAAATTTTATACCAGGTATTTTGAATTCCCCTCTGCATGAAAAACTTCTTTCCTTACATCATCCTTGGTTTTAGGTTTATACCTGTATTAAATCATCCCTTTTCCCTCTGCATTCATCTAGTTTCTTCTGAAGATCCTCTTCCTGCTGGGACAGTCTGAGCTGATGGACATCCCAGAGACCCATGGCCTCCTGAACATAGCTGTACAAGTCCCTACAATTCTGCTCATCCTGTTTAGCCAGCTCTTCAAAGTCTCTCTAAAAGAAATACATTTAAGTGAAAGTTATTAAAATGTTTGATGGAAGGTGAAATAAATGAGTCAGGGGACACAGGACATGAAAAAAGGCTGGCTGGAAATACACCATCAGCATTCAGCACAGCCCCTTCTGCTTAGACTAGAGAGAGAAAATATCCCTCTCCAAGTAAACTGGTTATGAATGCAGAATTTTATTCTAGAAGCTGAGATATCAAGGCTTCTATTTATTCTCCTGGTAATGCACAGAATCTCCACATTCTGCACATGCCCTGAGGTATCTGGCCAGCTATCATTTCAGGAACAGCTGCCCAGTCATTTTCATGGACAGAATCACACAAGATAGGACTGAAACAAATTTGGGAGATCACTTTAATCTATTTCTCTGCCTCCAGGCAGGATAGACAAAACCTAATTCATTCCTGACAGCCTAATATAGATATAAACCAAACAATTATGAACTCCTGTCCTTGAATCACACCAACCTTTCTTAAAATTATTATTATTCTTGGGCAGGTGTTCAGCCACACTATGGACCTCTCTCTGATGTGACATCAAGAGCCTAAGATACATATGGCATTTCAGACAGCAGAGCAGGAGAACAGACTCAGAGACTAATAGAAATGTAATAGACATACATTCATATGCTCCAGTTCCTCTTCAAACTGACTTTTTAGTCTCTCAGTCAAATGAAGTAACTCAGAATTCACAAATTCTTCAGCCTCTCTTTTTGTGCAAACATTCAGATTCAACAGGTTATTCTAAATTAAAAGAATGATAAGTTATGGACATGCATATTATAAAACAAATAGTGTGGGGTTTAGAGAGTATGGCTAAACTTAATATTTCTTCTTTTCCTGTGAGTGGATACAGACAGATTTAACCCCCTGGTTCTCACATTCTGTTAGTAAATAGTACAATTTTATTTAGACACAAAGTGAGAAACTGAGGCAGAGAGGTGGAATTTATTGTCCAGGCTAAGACAGATTGAGTGCAAGGGCTGAGAGCTCTGACCCTAAGTCCCCTGTGTAGATGTGAGACAGAACTCCTTCCATTACTGGCACTTGTTACTGCTTTTACACATCTCAAGTACAAATAGCACATGCTACTGTGAAATAAAATGGACAGCAGGTTTTCTAACAGAATAAGACAGAGGTTAGAAAGAAATTACACTTGTTATCTCAATGTCTGGTGGCTCCTCAAACCTCAAACTTGCTGTAGCAACACACTGCATACTGTTACCAACAATCCTTCCACGAGTTTGCAGAGCTACACTACCAACCTTGCATAGCTGCACTTCTGCCAAACATTTCTCCTGGACCATCTCATACTGGCTGCGTATTTTCATCACACACTGCACATGGAAGTGATCTGAAGGACAGGGAAGAACAGAACATTGTAAAGATTTCTGTATTTCACTGTGCATTGTGAAATGGAAACACAGCAGAACGTGACAGAGGAGCTGTGCCAAGTCTCAGCAGAGGTAACATATCCCAGTAGTGTCTTCATACTTGTGCAACACTATCAACCAATAAGATGTTTTAATACAAATCTTCTTATCAGTGATGAGGCACTGGAACAGGCTGCCCAGGGAGGGGGTGGAGTCCCCATCCCTGGAGGGGTTCAAAAAACACATGGACGTGGTACTTCAGGACATGGTTTAGTGATGATGATGGTGTTAGGTTGATGGTTGGACTTGATCTTTGAGGTCTTTTCCAACCTTAATGATTCTGTGATCACTATGCTTAAAAGTAACAAGCTATTTACAATCACTAGCAGCTTCTTTGCTACTGTACAGGCTACAGACATTCAGACAGGATTTGCTCTGGAGAAAGGCAAGGCAGACACAAAGGGAAGGCACACTGGACTCAGAAAGGAAGCATCTCAAATACTCCCCCCTCTAATTCTCCAAGAGTTTAAAAGGGAATATATTTGTATGATTGAAAACAGATCTACACTAAAATTAACCTCCCATTTTCCCCAGATTAATTCTAACCAAGCCAGTTCCTGTTAGACTTCACCACACAAAAATGCATGTGCTGGCCAAAGGGAGGTGATGCAATAGGCAGCTTATTTTGGTTGTGTGGCCAGCTCAGAGCACTGAGGTGGTACATGGAACAAAGAACACAGCAAGGACATGTGTATGAACTTCCAAAGCAACCACCAGACTCAACACTGTCTGGGAAGAAGAAAGAATTGCTTGAATTCCAGACTGTTTCAATGATTTCACAACTCACCCATGTTTTTGTTCAAGTTCACCACAGATGTGTACCATTCATTTATCTCAGCTTTCGTGTGTGTTGGAGGCAACAAATCACTATTGAAATTGGAAACAAGAGTCAGGTATCTTCAAATATAACCCAGGCTGTTCTTAAAGGCTACGATTAGGAATCAGAGTATCCATATTACTGTGCTTTATTTCATTTACAGCAATGAAAATAACACCAGATGGCTGCTGTTTTCAAGGCCACGGATTACTGGCAAGGAACTAACTGTGATCTGTCTTACTGCTACACACACTGTGAAGGGAAAACTGTAAATGTTGTAATGCAATGCACTCAAACCACCCTCTCGTTGTCAGGATGGACATTCAAACATAGCAGTGTCAGGTTTCTGTCAGGACTCTTAATTTATTATACAAATTAAACTCCCCCACAGAAATGATGCCTTCACAAGATTACTATTTTTACTTATCTACCCATCCTTGTCTCTTTCTACTACATTTCAAATGTTATTAAGACTTACTTGAGTGTTCCTGCATTTCTAGCCCTTGATCAGCCCCTATTTAGTGCAACTGGTGCACTGAAACCCAGAAATGCTTTTTTTTCCATTAAAAAGAGCTTTATAAAAGAAGTTTAGGCCCTGCCTTACTGCTGCATTGTACAATGGCACACTGAAAGGGAGCAAACTGTATTTTGTAGCCAAGTCTCTCTGGAAAGAGCTCTATCTTCCTTTGTTCCTGTTCTCTCTTTGTCATACCCAAGGTGCTGCAAAAGCTCCAGTCTCCTTTCACTAAGTAAAATCTGATCCATTATCATATTTTCCATTTCTGTTCTCACGGTTGGGGGATTCTGTATTTCTTCATTTGCCATAAATTCTCTGTAGGATTGAAGAATACAGTGGAGTAAATATCTGTTTGGGAAAATTTTGTGTTTGAAATACAAATACAAAATGGTTTATACGTAATAGGTAAAAATAAATTCTATGCTTTTAGAGCTTTTTAGTTTTATAATGCAAAAATGACAGTGTTACTCTTCATAGAAAACAGAAGTGAACACTAGTCACTTTGCTACTCATACTCCAAAACAGAACTGTAAATTTTCCAACCTGAAACTGTGAACTATGTAGTTCTTTTGGATGAGCTTCCAGTCCTTGACTGTGTCTTGCCATTTCAATTGATGTGATAATTCTTTCTTCATTTCCGACTTCATTAGGTTGAAGAAGAGCTGGGTAATTGCTCTCTGATTAGCCAACAGTGCTCTGTTGATCATCTGCATATTAAAAAATAAAGGAATAAAAGCAGCACAACAGGCAAAAAATAAATTGCCTAATCTATGTAAAAGGAGGAAAAAAATTATAAAGAATACCCTGAAACATACAAAACTCTCCTATACTGCAGTGACTGACAGCTATAGAAATAATGAATTTCAGTTGGAAAAAAACTACAACACTCTTGGCATATTCAGATTGTTATGTTCTCACAAGTAAAACAGACTCTTAGTGTGAAAAATTTACCATAGCCTCATCATTCATGAACCTGTGAACATCAGCCAACAACAAGAAGGAAATTTCCTCCAGTCTCACTGTATACTTCCTCAGTACAGCTGTTATCTGTCCAATAAAAGAATAAAGATTTCATTAAAAAATCTGTATCCACCCAAATGTCAGTTTCCAATTTAAACAGTGATGTGAACAAGACAAATTTTTTCCATGAAAATAAATTCAATTGGCTGATAGAAGTGAATCTTAAAATATCCATCTTAAGCATCTTACTGATTCTTATTTAAATCTGTATCCACCCAAATGTCAGTTTTCAATTTAAACAGTGATGTGGACAAATTTTTTCCCATGAAAATAAATTTAATTGGCCGATAGAAGTGAATCTTAAAATACCCATCTTAAATATCTCACTGATTCTTATTTTTAAAAAAAAATCATAAAAATAGTAACTAAAAGATTCCATTCTATTTCTACTCAACTGATTTTTTAATATTTGTGATAATGGACTACTCTGCAGGCAGGCTGAAATATGAATTTAAGAAATCAACCCAAATTCCTTTCAAATATCTGTAACGAATCCACCAGTGGCTGTTTTAAATGGACACAAAATTTAGGCAAACTAATCAAACAGAAAAGTTATTGGTGATACTGCTGGACCTACTTGTCATGTCTACATTATAAAGAGAGGACAAACTGATGCAGGTAGAGCAGATAGCTTTTGTTTGTCTAGAAGGCCAAAGCAGCAAGGGCTTCCTTAAGGACTATCCAGGTATTTATCCAAACATTTACTGTGATGTCTGATGACTGTTCCAGGTCATGGTGACACCTACAGAACTGCAGCATCTCTGCTGATGATGCCCAGCCTGCCCAAACTCAGATTAGCTGTGGCACATCTGGGCATGTTCTCAGCTCCAGAATAAGTATGTCCCAACAAAACAACATTAGACCTAGTGACAGTTTGACCTAAAGAACCCTGCAGAAAAGTCAAAGCAGCTCACTCTATCAGCTCGACTCCTTTCAACCTTTTTTAGGGATTCATCCATTTCCCTAATCCATTTCTTTCTAGTCAAGAATTCATGCTGGATGGTACTCCACAGTTCTTCCAAACCCTGCAAGAAGGATTTCCTCTCAATCTCATTGAAAAGTAAATGTCAACACCCCCCAGCTCCAACCCCACCAAAAAAACCCCAATGTTTATATCTTAAGCCTACAGCAGGACATAAGAAGCTATGTTACACAGACGAGGTACAAATAAACAAAGATGAGACAATGCCAGGAGCTGCCTTACTTCAACTGAGAAGCCTTCCTGAGTAGCCTCACACTCAATCTTTTCAAACAGAAGTTCAATTTTTCTATCAGATTCCATCAGTTTTGTCAAAAGGAACTTTCCAGGCTCCAAAACAAAGGGGTCCATCTCCTAAAAAGGCATCAAAGTCAGCGTGACCTTCTCCATATTAGGCCCTGACCTCAGCATTAGTCCTCTGGACTCCCTGGATGACAAAGCCCAGCCTCACCCTGGCGATGGAGCCCAGCTCCTGATAGAGGGAGGCCAGTGCTGTGCCGTGACGGCCTCGCCGGCGCTCCCGCAGGCGTCCCGAGATATTGCTCCTCCCTTCCTCAGGAGCTGCCGAGAAAGGAACGAGGCTGGTGTAGCCTGGAACGGCTGCTGCACAGCACAATCAACCACGAAACCCACACTCTGACAGCTTGTGCAGTGACTACAGTGCATGACAGCTGTCCACGGGAAGGGAAATCTATGCAACTGTAGGTTAAGAGTAGTAAAGTGTATTTTTCAATGTTCCTTCATTTATTAACTTATGATTTTCAACGGGAAGGGAAATCTATGCAACTGTAGGTTAAGAGTAGTAAAGTGTATTTTTCAATGTTCCCTTTATAAACTTGTGATTTTCAAGTGGATACAAGCATGGAAGCTATGAATTAAGTTCAGCTATGATGCAAAACATTGCAACTTCCAAGAATGAGATCAGCTTACAACAGAACTGGAATTTACCATCTAAACAAACTGTGATTGACCCACGATTTTACAACAATTTTTTTCTATGAGTAGACTCTTCATCTCCAAAATTCCTACAAATCATAAAAACTGTGTCATTTCTGATTTTATACCTTGTTCAGGTAAAACCATGTGTGTGGTGGCTCCTAAGAATGCAAATTAAAACGTCTGATATTAAGGGAAATAAATTTTACCAAAAATATCAGGTAGGCCTCTGACTTCCTCAGCTGCATTTACATCTACACTTTCCCAGGCCTTTTCAAACGTTGTTGCTTGTCTGAAATGGAAAGAGAATAAAGCTTTTCATTTGTACTAAATGCTTGAGAGGAGGGACTAGCAATGGATGTACTATTCAATTTAACTGGCAAAATTTAATGTTTAAGTGAACACAAGCCTAATTCTAACTTAAAAGAATATTATTCAAAGGATCAATATTTCTGCTTCTGAGATGAATTGAACTAATTATCTGGCTTGGGTTGACCACAACCTCAAATCTGCTATGATGGCATGAAAACAATAAATGTTAGATTTTATAGGTGTAAACTACTAAGACATGTTATTCTGTAGTTTAACAGGCAGCAGCTCATTATATTCAGTTCACATCTGACAAGGAGACAGTCTGTTAAAAGCCATTAGTCCTGTAATCAAGAATTCAGGAGTGTCTAGCTGCCAGGGTAGATCTTACAGCTTCATATCTATATTCATGAACATACAGTTGGGTTTTTATGCTTCTGTTCTCTACCTGTCCAATGGTGGTGGCTTTTCCAGGGAGTTGTTGTAGGGTGCTCCTTCAACACACTTCTGCTGGTAACATGGTAGTAACCTGGCATCAGTAGAAGTTTCTGAATCCCTAACCAAAGTGAGGCTGTCACTCTTTATAGGAAACCTAGTCCTGTTCCTTGCTTCATCCAATGAGCGGACTAACTGAACCTTCAAAGAACCATAATCAAAATGGTTAGAATCCTTTCCAACCTACTGAACAGAGAATAACAAAATAATTCATAAAAATAGCAAGGGAAAGGTGGTAGAAAAGGCAGGTGAAACAATGAACACTCCTCGGCAAACGCAAAACAATTTTTTTTATCCAAGGCTGTTTTCAAAATCAGAAAAAAGAAAAAATACCCCTTTCCTCACAGAGGAAAATGTGAAGTACACAGGATTGCATGCCTTGCTTATCATTACATGGAAAGGCAAGAGGAGACAGAGAAATCCCCAAATCTGGCTTACTACACATCTTAATTTCTCTTTTCCTTGTGTATCGTGATTGTGCCCTCAATGGGGATATCCTGACACACAAGGAAGACTCAGTAACACAAACAGGTGCATTAGAAAGCATAAACTGATGAAAACACAATTATTTTCTATGAAAACAAACAAAAAAGGTTTGAAACCGACCTCTGATTTGAGGTCACTGACCAACAACTGACAGACATAACGACCTCCTTTGGTTTTTAGCCGATGCTTTAGTTTTACCTCAGCCTCAAAGATCTGTTTGTAGACTCGCCCGCCGGGAACGAGGCGCACAGCTCCCACCGGCCTCATTCTGCCCAGCGCCGAGGCCTTCCAGCCCCATTCCCAGAAGAATCCCGATTTACCAGCGAGAGGCCATGGGGAGATAAAACCTGAGGGGCAAACCGCAAGCCTGCCGCACGGTTCCCGCCCTTTCCTCGTGTGGCTGCCGCGGGCGAAGGGTCGGGAGGGTTTACAGCGGTCTCCGCGGTGATTTAGGGCGTTGGAGGGCGGTGTGCTGAGGGGGAAGGGCCCTTTTCCCCTCAGGAAGCCGCCGAGCCCTGGGCGCCGTTCCCTGCCCTTCAGCCGCGTTCCCGCCAAGCGCCGCGTCGCCATGGCGACGACAACGCGGGGAGGGGGAG